GCCGCTGTCTGGAGGAGAGTTCTAGCAACTGGTAGGAGAAACCACAGAAGACCATCGATCAGAGCAGCCGGCCGCAAGAATTGTCCTTCAGACAGCGTCTGCATTTGACCTAGCTGACAAGCGAGTGTCGAAAATCCTGCCACCGCCGGGACTCGAACGTAGGACCTCCCGGTCAGAGAGACTGCAGTATTATCAGGTGATGCCCTAAGCTATCTCTCCCAGAGACACCTCTGAAGCCGACGTATTAGTCGGCGCCACTTCCCACGTTCCAGCTGACGACTAGCTAGCCGACGCAAGTTCGGCAACGGATCTCGCCATCCAGCGGGGGCAAGATCATCACCACCTCCCGAGCAAAACATGCCCAACACTTACGGGACTAATGACTTTAGCAGTTGAAGTGCCCGGAATCGCTAGTAATCAATCGATCACAGCGGGTGAGGGACCCATCTGCCGGGTTCGTAACATTAACTACACTTACGGGACCAACAACCATATCAGTTGATGCGCCCGGGAACAATAATCAATCAATTGAACTTCCTTCCCGTAAAAGTAGTGCGTCAACTAGTCTTATACTTCCTTCTGTTACAGTCAAATGAGGACTTATTGATTGCTGAGATATGCAAAACCTCAGTAATTTCAAAATCATTTTATTTAACAAGACATCATCGAAAAACAGGTCATTTAATCTGTTAACATATTGTTCTTTCATTGATCAATTTACAGAGGTCGTCCTGCACATGTATTTGAAATTGAGGACCAATAGATTATCAAAAAGATACATTATTCTCCTCAGGTTAGAATTTCGAATTAATTATCAGATAATTTTTTATTAGTTGTCCAATTAGTAGTATATATTTATCCTAAATTGTGACGATTTCATCAACATTTTGTAATCATGTTTAACAAACTTATTAAAATTATGGTTAAAATGTTAATTCTCACTCTTCTACACTGATGTGAAGAGCTAATAAATTCAAAAAAGATTGTAGTGGGCTGTTTCAAAAATCTCAGTGCACAAAATATATTTTGTAAAATTATTATACCAATTTTCCAATAATGGATATCTGCCCTATGGACAGTTTCTTTTAAGTATTCCTCTGAAATTTCATGGAAGATGTGATGCAGTAAATAAACATCAATTTCTTTAAAATGTCATAATTTACATATAGTAACTTATCAGAGAAAAACAAAGGAATGCTACTTTCCCTAAAAAAAATATAATAAAAATGTATTGTTTCTGGTAGTCTATTAATTCACTGTATACTTGTAGTTGTATTAATTATAATAAATTATACTACAAAAATATGCTTTCTCAATCAACATATTTGCATTAACAAAAACATTGATAACAGGTGGTTTAGGATGGTGGGAATTGAGAGAAAATAAAAGTTTTCTCGTGACTAATTACCTTCAAAATACTTTGCTACACCTCAACCATGTAGGATCAGCGAAACAATTATACAGTGGCACTACCTAACCAAAACAATATGTTTATCAACTCCTTAACATGAAAACACGATATTCTCCATTCTCTATACATACAATGAAAGATAACTATCTTTCGCATGAAGAACTCAATCATTATACTCTTCACAACCTCTTCAAATTCCATTTTAATCAGCAACACTCACCTAAACCTTGTCCAAACAGCGTCACAGAAACAGCTTCTTTGCACGTTCAGCACAAAAAATGTGTAACTAAGATCTTCGGGAAATAGTTTCAAGGAACACAACAACCACAAATACAGAGATATTCACACTTCACCAGACGGTGGGAAATGGAAAACAACTGATTTTGAATGGGTTAGCCGAATGTCAAGTGACGCGCGCAATGCACTTCAAGAACTCTGGTGAGAAATGACACAAACACACCATAACAAACAAACATCGCCTTTCATGATACGATCCAAAATTATATTTTAACTTTTTATTCATTTTATACATTTAAACATTTTATACATTTTAATTTAATACGCGTAAATCCGCGTTTCTTTCACATACATTTCTTAAGCCATAAGTCTCCGATTTTGACAAAATACAAAACTTTTATCTATCATTCATTTCTTGAAATTTTATGATTGAGTTTACGCAAATAATTTGAAATGCGATGGCAAAAGAAGTGACATAGTAAATATGACTAGTTTCAAGTTTCCCACAGAGTATTTTACAAGATGGACGTCCTTGGAGAAACAATTTTAAACAACACATTTTAAATATTCACCTAGCTCTTCATACTTATTAATTTGTCTTACTACGAAATCCTGATCAGTGGTAACCCTGAAGTGCTAAGTTATAATATTTTGTAATGTGCTTCGTTATCAGGGGCTGCCCTAGATCAATAGAACCAGATGAAAAAATTTGTCATGCCCCCATCACTCGAAAATTCAAAAGCTCTTCCCCCGCTAAATATTGCAATTATAAGGATTAATTTATTATATTTATAACGGATTAGTATAAATCTTAAATTTTATAAACATTTTGTTAATTATATTTCTTGCCGTAGTAAAGTCAAATTTAAAACGATGTTATTTAAGATTTAGTTTATTAGCACCTTCGACTTTAGTGTCCACGACTAAAATGTATGTAATTTCTCGCATGTAGGACACTATTGGAACATATCTCAACAATTCCTGTTTGCGTAGCGGAATAGGCATGTAAGTGACAATAACATTAAAACCATTCTCCTGGAATGGCATAGGTAATGGAAGGAGATGGATGGTTCGTCCAGGTCGATACTTAGTTAGAAGCAACATCACAGAAACCAGAGAGAGAAATATTGAAAACAGACCGTCCCACAACTAGTTTTTAAGTTACAAAATCTCATCGTAGTTTCTCATTCACTTTTATAAGTTCGTTATAAAGAATGTGTATTTTAAATAAAAGTTTGATTCATGAATTCAATTACAATAATTTCACTAGAATTACAACAAAATACAATCACCTCCAACCAATAAACATCTATTACATTTCACTTCTGGAGTTTTGTTCACAAAAGTTATTCGGGACAAAGCGCAATGAAATGTATACACTCTCTAAGCTCCTCTCTCTTTTTCTTGTTTCTTTTTTAATAGAAATATTTAAAGATTTTTTGACAGTGCCCAACAAATTATTATAGCACCAAACTTTCTCGACTTCATTTAAGTTTCATTGTAATGAACTTAAATTATGGGCGTCGCCAACATCAAATTATTGGGGGGGCGATTAAATAGATAAGGCAACATTTATTGAAAAATGTTAATCATTTCTTCGCCGCCCACGCCACAAATTTGATATGGCATCAGTGACTGTACAACAAAAATAGCTCCCATGACTAAAGAGACAAAGTAACTTGCCAACGTTTGTAGAGAACTGAGAATCATTTCTACGCCGCCCCGTCCCCAATTTGATATGTCGTCAATGACTAACAAAATCGCTCCCATGACTAAAGAGACAACGTAATAGGCAACGTTTGTAGAAAACTGAGATTCATTTCTACACCGCCCCGTCCCCAATTTGATATGTCGTCAATGACTAAAAAAATCGCTCCGATGACA